TCTATAATATTGTTTCGAGAGCGGAGTGATTATATTTTATTTATTTTAAACATCTAATATCCGTCAAATCTGCAAATCATACAATTTTAATAACTATATGATTGTACTAAGGTAGAGATGAGATAAACTTGATGTCATCGACATTATCGTGCAAGTGGTCACAAGTCTAGTTAGGAAAAAAAATGGAAAATAACACATTATTATGACACGGCGTCTCGGATAGGCATTTTTGATACAACGCTGTCTCCGGGAGTTGAAAAAATACAAGCGCGACGCATCATTATAATAATAATATTGTTATTATATCATTCGATGTGTTATAATAATATAACAACTTAAGCTATTATTGTTATTGTTTTATTTATAATATATATATTTTTTACTCACGCCGGAGTCGCACGTGCGTCGTGTATGGATTTCGAAAGCAGTTCGGCGGGTGCCATGCGCTCGTATATCGTATAATAATATACAAAACATAACATAATATTGTATCGATTTTTAGACGAGCATTCGACTCGAATTACCAGCTACGGCGGGTGACTGGGCCCAATTCTCCTGAGAATTTTTTTTGAGAGGAGGGGGGGGGTTAGGTCGGAGTTGTTATTCGGTTGTCGAAAGGCCGCGTGCGTGTAATACGCGCGTGGACTTACGACCTTTTTTCTCTTTTTCTTGATCTTGGTCACTGGGGACGTCAATTCGGCGGCGGGGCGGAACGGTGCACTGTGCGTAAATAATAATAATAATAATAGCATAATGTACACATAATAATATACTACCTATACCTACAGACGTTCGTGATGTCTAGACGCAGGTAGAGGTGCGTGATATTGTTTTTTTTCTGGACGACGATTATTATTCATCACCAAAAAGTTATGCGTTTTTCGTGAATATTATAATATTATTGTTGGAAATATATATATCGATTAATTTACAATGGATCGCTAGACATAATTTAGTACATTGCGCAAAGGTCGTTGACGCGTGCAAATCAAGATCTCAGTATTGAGTATGTCAAATAATATATCAATTATTAGTCTAATAAGCCAAACCTCTAAACAATAATAAAAAATAAACCAACAACTGGTGCAACTGTTTCCGAAGATTTAATTTTTTTTTCATACGAAAGCGATTTCGGTGGAAATGTTTGCGCTGTGCATTCCATTGTTTGATTTTCACTTTTTTTCGACTGGGTTTTTAAAACTACCAGGAAAAATCAAAAAATTACCCCTCTAAATTAAAGTGCCATTATTGTGTTCAATTTCAAGTGGTACATAAAACTTTTGAAGTACTATTACTGACCCCAGAAAAAAAAAACGCTTTCAGTAGAAAAAAACACATTGCACCCAAAAACCAATAGCTGCCTCGGTCTGCTAAAAATCTAAACAATTTAAAATGCGTAAACAGATAAATTACGTTTAAATAATTTATTTAAATGTAACAAACATATTATGAATTATTTATGTCACAAAAAAAATTTACAAAGTTGTAAATAGCTAATTTTTAAATCATGGGTGTTTTTTTTGAAAATAATGTTTTTGTTTTAATGACCTAACTATATATTGCGTACCTATTCAGTCATTGCCGGAGTTAATTTAATTAAAAGTCGCAATTCGAACTCACTAGATTATATAGCACATCTGACTGAGTTCGTAAATTTTGCTGTGATATCCACACGATCGTTTTTCATTTAGCATCGAAGCGTGTTCCTATGTGAAGTAGATGGGGAAGAAAACATAAAATAGCGATACTTTATTTAATAGGTAATTCAATGAGAATTATCGAAATTTGTTTGAAAACATAATTTTCCGACTGCGCTTTGCTCATCAGACTCCGTAGGAGACCGTTGGCATCTGTTGTCTAGCGTTATTCGGACAGTTTAAATCTAAAAAGTTATAATGGGAAAACTTTTGAACGCATATTTCAAACGTGTAAGGTCTGAATTTAATATAAAAATCCCGTGTAAACATTTTCAATATAATTTATTCAAACTTGAGAATTTTTAGGTCATACCATTGGTTTTTCATTCAATATAATTTTTTTTTTTTAACTCATATTATTAATTATTAAAATTTCGACTGTTGTAGCTAAGAAAGTGATATTGTTTTAATTACACAGTATTCATAACATAATAATAAACTGATTTTAGAATGGTTCTCCAAAATATAACGTTTTTGGAAAACGATTTTTCTTAATTAAAAATGATTATTAGTTTATTTTTTTTTTTTGTCATCACATTCTCTTGTTAAGGAATTTAAAAAAAAATGTTTCAATTTCGTTTATTAATCACCATAAACAGCAACAACCTTTTGAGCGTACCAAAATATAATGTGATAAATGGAACAACCGGGAAACTTGGGACATTTAAACGTGTTTAATATTATCGTCGTCGTTGTTGTTGATATTAAAACAAATTAAAACTTAAACTCGCACTCCCGACGAAATTCCCACGAGGATATAGCTGCAAACAACAACAATAATAATAATAATAATGATTGTTTGTATTATTTTTATTATTATTATTTTTATTGTTATTAACGTTACAAAATTTAATTTGTATTATATTACGGTATTGTATTTCGTTAATTATTCAATCAGCATTTATAGTCTCATATTAATATCGTGTATACCATTATATTCAAATATGTCACCAAAAGGGATTTCTTAATTATTATACCCAAACTATTTGCTGTGCCACTTAATTTAATCATCAATTAAGTCATGGGTTAATTATAATGCAATTGCATGTACGTTAAAGAAAATCTTAACCTTTTTAGAAAACTTGACTACGTGAGGTGGTACCATCGATCTAGATGAAATATACATAGGTGAAGATATATCAGTTAGATGAAATAAACAATATTTTAAGTTGAGACCTTGAATATACAAATTCAAAACTGTGGTTAAAATTTAAAAAATTGAATAATATATAGTTTGCATAATCACGCAGCTCTGCAAGACAATGATTTAATAAAAATAAGTATAACAATTTTTATTCAGTTAATGCAAGACAAAAAAGAATAAATGCATATTAGTTAACGAATTCTAAGTTTTACAATCGCTGTATTGTGTGACCTCGGTGGTATTAAAAAACAAATTTACTTATTTTTTTTAATGAAGTTATCATAGTTAATATTTTTTCCATATTAACATTACAGTTAAACACACTACTTATCGATGACACTTAGAGTATACTAAGAGTAACTTATTTTAACCAACTCAAGTCAACTCTTTTTTCATAAAATCCTCCCCCACCACTTTGTTGTCGTGGACCAGAAGAACAACCCGGCGGGGAACTCGACAAGAATATTATTATTATAAACCGTCTCAGAAATAAAAAAAATGCCACTCGAACCCTTTTGTATAATTAAAACGGTCGTTCGGATACGCACACTGCAGCGGTACAATACAACATGTATATTTATTATATACACTGAAATCGTCAGTTTTTTTTTTCGGCGTTTATAATATTATCTCGCCAAACCCGCGAACGAACCGCCATTACGACGGTCTGCGATTCCGATCGATTTCGCCGGCTCCCTCATTATTATTATTGCGTCCCGGTCGTTATATTTGGCGCGGTCGTTGCGTGCGTGTGCGTCGTGTTTATACTGCTGCTCCCGATTATTATTACGATCCGTATAATATTATTATATAATGTTTTCTTTCGCTCCGTTCCCGCCGTGTGGCGCTGGCACTTTCGCCAACCGTATACAGTATAATAATATATAATATAATAACGTAATGTCCGAATATTATCACTGATCGACCGACCGAGACCTCCGAGGGGGCTTGCACTCCACGAGTGAACATTATTATTAAATGTCGTACATCGAAGGCAGCAGCGGCCGAGGCGTTCGGAGTGCTGCTCTATTCGTTATCGTAACGATACGTAATGTGGTCTCTCGCACCGGGAATATTATACTGCAGATGGACGGAAACTCGATGACTTACTGCGTGTACGTACGGGATGATCGTGTGATGTTTAGGGGAGGGGGGCAGAAGGTTGTCGGCTTCTGCTTAGCATACAAAATATAATATTTCTTGTCCATATTATTATCATCGGAAATTTATCTTAACTCAAACATAAATCATTATGATAGTGTGCTTAAAGAATTTACTAAGTTTATTATTTCTGGAAGAAAATGTACATTTTTTAATGGAATTGTCATTTTTTTTACATCCCTTAGTTATAATACATTTAATTTTATTCAAAATGTATTTTGTAAAACTAATACAATTTGTTGTATAATATCTTATTGGGTGGTTTTTTTTTGTTGCAAAAAACAGTATTTTATAAGTTTCCCGTCAAAAACGCACCAACGCGTGGGTAAAATAATAATATCGAATATATCCATGAACAATATATCGTATGATTCGGGTCTGCAAAACACTTGATTATTTCTATTTCAATTTTATTGACAAATCTAAACTTCAGCACTTATGCTTACACATTGAATAATAACTTATGGTACTAATAATTGCATGTACTCTTAGAAAATATAATACTTGTTCATTTTCAATTAAAAGAAAAATAAACTAAATATCTAATCATTATATAATGTAAAAACCTTTTGTATTATATTATTTATCCTTAAGTTAAACTTTAATTATATTAATATTATGTGCACTCTACTTCTACCCTTAATGGGCGTTAATAAACACATTATTATTACGATTATATATTATGGACGAAAACCGTTTTCGATATTGTACTATATAATAATTTATGATAGTCGTCGTTCGTATTATCTAATATAATTTTATTTTTAAAACTTTAATACAATAATACATATACCATTATCACAGTACATACGTTATAATTATTATTATTATTACTGTGCGTGTTAGAGCACCACATCTTGGCGTATAACATAACGTTCTTAATATAATAATATAAATAATTCTTCGTCTGAATGTACATAATACAATATTATGTAATATATTATTATTATTAGTATTACTATTATTATTTATATTTATTTCTGTTTCTTCGGTTGCAGGCGAAAAGCCGTACAAATGCGAGTGGATAGGCTGCGGCTGGAGCTTTGCCCGGTCGGACGAGCTGACCCGCCATTACCGCAAGCACACTGGCGCCAAACCGTTCAAGTGTCGCCACTGCGAGCGATGTTTCTCCAGGTCCGACCATTTGGCGCTGCACAAGAAACGGCACTTCACTTAAACGCAAGCACACGACGCACGAACACACACACCCACACACCCACAAACCCACACACAAGCAGAGAGAAACGCGCAAAAAACACACACACTACCGTTTTACCACCCTAACCGCTACCTCCGCTACAACAACCCTCTGACGATATTATGTTAGAACTCGTTAAAATTAAATACCCCTCACACACATTCATACACAAGCACAGACAGACGGACGCGCGTAGATAAAGTTTCCGGAAAAACGGTGGTATTTATTTCATTATTACTATAATTTATTATAACTAATATTATTATTATTATTATTATTAAAGATTTATATATTTTACGTTTATACATAATATTTTGTTACCAGTAATACTCGTGCATTTGTGCATATATATAATGTATATTATATATTTACGTACAATACGCTTGTATACATATAATAATATGATATATAAAATAATTATTTCAATACCAAAAGTATAATTAATGCATTAAAATAATTTTTAAATATATTATTATGAAAATTGATAAAAACCAAAAAAAAAATGATAACGATTAAGATATACATTTTTTTTTAAATTTAAAATAACGTCATAAACATACAATAATATAATATAATACTGTTATCGTCGGGGACGATCATAATATTAATAAATTGTATTATAATACCGTTATAGTAATAAAACTATTGTGACGCGTTTTCAGTTTCTTATCAATATCATCATTATATTATTATTATTATTATTATTAATATTATTACCTACATTAACTGTTACAGTAATATTATAATACAATATTAACGGCCATTATCGCGTATGATAAATGTGTAAACTCATTGTGTAAATATAATAATATGTATAATGACTCCGGAGCCTAATGATCAAAATCGTTAAAAATCCCAGGCGTTCGCATTCACTGGTCGCGCCTGCCAAGTAAATTGTTAGGAAAAATTTTATAAATTAAGCCTATCGTCACGATATTTTTAAAATATCAAGTTAATATGAAATATAACTGACCGCTCGTCGAAGCGCACATTTGTTATGTTGCATACTAGGCCATATAGGCCCTCCGCAGAGGGACGATATATATTTGATAAATCGATGACCTTGATTGGAAGGATACGAAACTTAAATATAATAAGATCTTTTTTTACAATCGAAGGCCTGGTCTTAGATGAGTTTGTAATTGTAAGAAAACGTAAAAAAAAAATTTTTTTTGTAAATAGCATAATATTATATTATTGCCTAAATGATAATTATTAAAATAATTATAGTAGTCTTTGTAAATAAAATTAAACAATTTATTATAAATAATTAGCATAAAAAAATTATTATTCGTAAGTTTATTACTTTATCGTTTTTAATATTATTATAATGATTATATTATAAATTAGGCGAATGTGTTTTGATCCAATGAGACATTTATAGAACTGATTTACTAGATCCGATAGTCAATTTTTTTTCTTTGTATAGGTATTATAGTTATAGGACTATTTATATAATAATAATAATGTGTATATCGTTCATTCATTATAATAATAAGGGTCGTGCTCTTGCCGCCCGGTACGACGTTTCTTTAGGTTTTTTAGTCACTTCAAACTACACATAAAAAATATTTTATACTATTACATAATAATATTATATAATTATAATTATTAATATATATTGTATTTACGCCGTTTCAAACATCATTGCATTTCCATAATTTTGTGATTATCGTGTTTCATTGACCAATAATAATTCGTATATAATATTATATATTATTATGATGTGATAATCTTAATATTATTTCATTATATTCTTGTAAATTCTATTATTCTATTACTATATTGACATTTTTTTCGTTTTAATTTAATTTAAAAAAAAAAAAAAAAAAATATCATAATATATTATTATAGTACTTATTAAATAAAAAAAAAATATATAAGATTTAATACAACGTCTAAGAGACGATTTAATTGCTTACATCCACCATCTTCCTCTTTACTAAAAAGTAAAACCTGAATCAAAATACTCCTCGCGGCTCCGATCGACTGTCCCTGCTGGCGCGCGGGCGAGCCACTGCCAGACAAAATAATAATACTATTAATAAGGATAAGACGAACAAAATTACCGTTCGCAGTGAATTTATGTCCAATAATTATGTTATAATATCTCGATTATTTTCGAGTAATGATACTAAATAATATTTTATGACAACGATACGTCAACCGCGTTCTATTAAAAAACGGAAATAATAATAACAATACAGTAAAAAAAAATAATTAAAATTAAAATAATATTATAGGCATTTTAGATAATAATAATATAATAAACTGTATACATGTTTCGTAACGCAAAGAGAAAGAAACGGGGCCAGTAAATTAAAAAAAAATATTTATAGAAAAATTTTTTTTTATAAAAATGACGAAAAAAAAATGTGGTGTTATTGTTTTCGTTTTTATTATTGGTTCAATTATTGTTACTATAATTATTATTTTTTTCTCGATATTATATTTTATAACTAAAACCTGTTTATTTATTTGTTAGCTTGCAAATATTCTATTATAATAATTTATTGTTTCATTTTTTTTTTTTTTTTTAACTTAAACCTTTTGTTTATTTATTTATTTATTTATTATATTTTGTTTTTGTTCGTACCACATACGTTTAATATAATATAATATTATTATTATAATAATGCATCATGTGTTGGTATTTTTATAATATTATAACACTTGAAAATTATTATCATTATTATTGTTATATTTATAAATGAAAAAAAAAAATATCTACCATTATATTATGATTATGATTATTATTTGTATGATTATTTTATTATTGTTTATAGTCTGTTGTAGACAGACCGCACCTTAAACCTTAGGGCCAGATATTTGTTGCGTATATTTAAGCATGGAACCATTGTGTTTTTATTTTTTGTTTAATTTTTTTTTTCGTTATGATTGTTGTTAGACTATTGTGTGTTTTACTGCTATATTATATTATTATTATTATTATTATCATCATCATTTTTATTAGTAGGCTAATGCTTAGATATATAAATACCATTTAGTTAATTACTGCGATTGTTTTGTTTCATTTAAAAAAAAAAAATGTATAAGTCTTTCTTAATATTTATAATTGTCATTGGTATTATCATAATATTATTGTATTACGTAGTAGTATAACATATTAATACTTAAAATACTGTCCCCGAACCAAATTTGACCCGTTATATTTCGCCCTGCATACTTTTTCAAATAACTCACTGCGTCAACCTCAATTTTCGCCGGCAGCAATTTTTGGTGTACCAGGCAAATTGCCGTAAAAATTTCGTGTTTAAAGAATTAAATCATGTCGAATAGTCATCGTCGCACAACTTTTCATTTTTTTTTATACAAACATTTCTATCGGATTTTCCTAGAAAAATGTCTATTTAATTTTTATAGCGTGATATCATAACATAAAATAATAATATTATTAAATAATATTACCATATCTTTCTCTAGTCGACGCGATGACTCGCCGAGCTATTCGTTTTACATTTTATTATTATAATATATAATACGTTATAATACGTCTTGGCTAGTAGACGGAATTTTTTTCATCGGCAGAAGATCAGAGCGTTAGTGATAATAATATTATAACGTTGCGATGAAGAAAAATACGAAAAAGCTTAATTTGTGGTCGCCGGGCGAAAGATTCCGAAGAGGATTCCCTTGCAGTACGAGGTGTTTTGATTTGGTTGATAGTTTTGTTGATTTTTCTCTTCCTCCGTTTTGAACCCTATAATTCGTACAAAATATAAGAGTATTATTAGTATTTTAAGGGAAAAAAAATGTTGTAACATACCTATATCGCATATTATATTTATATAATTATTTATATACACGTTATATTATATATGCCATATGTAACGCATATATAGGTATCCATACATTATTATAATAACAATTATAATATTATTATTATGATGATGTGACGCGTACGATTTTTGGCGCATGCGTCGTATTATACCTAATAATATATAACGTCTATTTGTTATTCGTTCCGAAATAATATATAACGTCTGTCGTGTTATTATTACGATGACGATGTGTATATTATTATTATTATTATTATTGTTTTACATCTAAAATATTACAATATATATTATTATATCTGTATACATATGTGTATTATAAATATTTATAAATACATAGCATAATATTATTATTATTATTATTATTATTATTATTATTATAATTATTATCATTATACTCGTTTAATTTTTTTTCCTGGCTTAAACTTTGTACATTTTAAGATTTTATTAATTTTATTGTGACGAGAAAATCATGTTGGATTCAATCGTCGTCAAACTATACATATATATACAATTAAAAACGAAAAAAAAATATTGAACTTTAAAAATTAATCGTTTCGTTTTCTTATTTTAACTAATTTTCCTTTCGTTAATAATTATTAAGGGGTTATACGATGGCGTCACGCTTATGCCTCAGTTGCAGATAACCTCTACGTCAGGTAATTATTACCGTATCAGTATGAGTCTTTTACACCACGATATTGGAAACAAATTCAAGACACTTAGGTGTGTTATAATATTTTTTATGTGTTGATGAAATCAAATTTTATTATTTTTTTGTCTGGTAAAGTTATTTATATTTAAGCTCGTACACAGTATAGACAGTTGTCTCGATAACTCCAATCTGAAGGGGAATAAAACCTCAACTTATGTATTTTTCGAGTTATACATCTCAAACTCAACTATAAAAATTTAAAAAAAAAAACATTGGAATTCCTTGCGTACTTTTAAAAATAATTTACTAGTGCACTGATCGCATATTGAGGTACGATGGTACCATTGAACATTTTAAGTCTCTGGATATCATGGATTTGGTTGTATATGTAGATTAGTCAGTCAGGATATCTTCTTTTAATTCTGTAGAAGTGATTAATTAATCATAACAAATTACTTAATGACAGCATCTAGAATTGCTAAACTTAATCTACACACCGATCAAATATAAATGAATAATATATATTT